CCGTCATTAGGAAACCTTATTCTCTTAGTATTCGAAGCAGTACTGGAGGTCGTCTGTGTTAGTTTACCGGGGTACATTATCGCCAGGCAAGGCATGTTCGATGCCGGAAATCAGAAGTTTATCGCAAATCTAAATGTCAGCTTGTTTACGCCATGTTTGAGTATGTCCCTCTCCCTTAGTCCGATCGTTTCCTCTGCTTACTTTGTGCGTGAATACAGTTTTTACGAAACTCGCCTCTCAGCTTACAGTCGACAAGCTTGCTGACCTCGCCGTTATCCCTGCTATCTTTGTCGTCATGACTGCAGTTTCCTACATTGGATCTGTTCTCGTCGCTAAGGCATTCAAATTCCGCCGGCGAGCCAGGAACTTTGTTATCGCTATGGGCGTATTTGGAAACTCGAATTCGTTGCCGATTTCCCTGGTGCTATCACTGGCCTTTACATTGAAGGGTTTGCATTGGAGTAAGATACCAGGAGACAACGATAATGACGTCGCCGCTCGCGGTATCTTGTATCTGCTCATCTTTCAGCAGCTGGGTCAGCTTGTGCGATGGAGTTGGGGTTATCATGTTCTGCTGGCACCGGCGAGCGCGTATACTGTTGAAGAAGGCGGTACACGAGAGGCAGATGATGGGACTGGAAACGATGCCGAAAATCCGTTCTTTGACGAAAACGACCGCTACACCGATGAACCTGTCCCCATTGTTTCTCGCACCGAATCTATCGACTCTGAAAGCGAATGGGACGAGGATCTTGAAACTGGAGAGCGTAGAAAACCATCAGACCCATTCCGACGTCCTGGATTTCCCGAATACGAAGGTCTTACGAGTCCCACTGTCGAGTCACCGCAGTTAATTATCGGCCGCCCAATCACTGGTATGAGTCGCCAAAATAGTGAGAATATTCGGAGCCATCCAGATAGGTTGAATTCCGGGTCGATGAAGGTTTTGCCTCCCGTACCGCAGAGCCTGGAAAGTGTGGCTGAAGCATTCGAGAATACGCGGCGTAGAGGCAGTGGCCAGCGACCTCACGATATTGAGACACCAGGACAATCGTCAACGGCAGTCAGCGCAAGTGCTAGCAATCTCTCGTCTCCAACTACGTCGAGGTCTGATAGTCCTGCCCGGCCAAGAGTGGGGAAACGGGATTCTAGGGTCATTACTAGCTTTCCTGAACCATCAGAGTCAGCCGTTACATCTCCCATGAGCTCGAAGACCAATCTCCTCAAGGCTGTTCCCGAACTCCGACACAAGATGAGCAAAAACCTCGCACAGGCAACCAAGAACCTCCCTAAGGCACCAAAATGGTCGAAGAAGCCGGCTGGTTTCGTCAAGCGCTTCTTCATGGGCCTCTGGGAATTCATGAACCCGCCACTGTGGGCTATGTTGGCCGCTCTCCTCGTTGCCTCCGTACCAGCCCTTCAAAAGCTCTTCTTTACTCCAGGAACCTTTGTTGAAAACTCCGTGACTAGAGCAGTTAAGCAGTCTGGAAACGTCGCCGTCCCATTGATTCTCGTCGTCCTGGGTGCCAATCTCGCCGGAAATACGATCCCCAAATCCGAAGATGATCCGCTCGCTGCCCCAGGGCACCATAAAGCTACTGCCCGCCACGAACGCAATATCTTGTTGGCAGCACTGATTTCTCGCATGATCATCCCGACCATAATAATAGCACCCATGCTGGCTGTCGCCGCTAAGTTCCTCCCGATCAGCTTACTCGGCGACCCAATTTTTATTATCGTATGCTTCTTGCTGGCGGGTGCGCCGAGCGCGTTACAACTTAGCCAGATATGTCAGTTGAACGGGGTGTACGAGAACGTGATGGCGAAGATCTTGTTCTGGAGTTATGTGGTGGTTATTTTACCTAGCACACTGATATTGGTGATTTGTGGGTTGGAAGTGTAAGTTTAGATTCCCCGCCTACTTTCACATAGAAATTCTAACAAAAATTTAGGGTTGAATGGGCAACTTATGACAAAGCATAAGTGAAAGAAGATGGAGATGTAAAAGAGGGGTCGGTTTCTATTAACGAATTTCCTAGGTTGGGTTTTAGTGTTTACTAGTATTATTCTGGTGCATTATTTTTCACGTGGGCAGTTTCTTTTCGGGCAGTCTCTGTTTTTCTTCTTGGAAGCGCATTCTTTGAGCACATGATATCTTTTGCCTTGACTGTTCTCTTCTTGTTCGCTTGGTGTGGCTAAAGGCAGCCACCAGACTGGGTTGGTATTTGTGGTTTTTTACTCCGAGCGCAACGCTTTTTAACCGCGGTCAGGCTTGGGTTTACAGAATATTTGGGACGTCTTAACGGACAAAGTACGTATGTTTATACAGGAGTTTTTCTTCCTCTTTTGTTAGCTGTAAGCAAGTATTGTCAAGACTGTACATGCACCTGGGAATAACACTCAATGGTCTTCGCTGTCTCGTTATTCTCTGGTAAAAGTAATAGAATCGATCTAAATAGGGCTAATCACAATATAATTCCCGTCAGAGCGACCACTAGACCAACTTCCCGTAAACTCCAAAGATCCATAATAATATCTACCTAGTAATTCCTAGAGTGACTACTATACCACTTTCTCGTTAGTTTGGAAACTGGTATTTGATCCCTGACTACTTAAGTAGTCTATGTAATCTTGGTTTTGCAGATCCCACGCTACTGAATTCCTTAAAATGCGAATATGAGCCTACATAAGTAGGTATACATCCAATCGCAACTAAAAATACGGTTACACATGTACTGAAGCCGGCACTTGTTTCCGCAAAACCCTGGCCTGTACGATGTGTACGGAAGAATTTTAACTCATAGTCCGCTAAATGCAGGCAAGCAATAGGCTAGTTCTTAGTACGTGCATAGATACATGTACATGTACAACGAAAATGGAAACGGCACAGCAGTGGAACGGTGCATAAGTGCGCTGAGGAATGGAGGTGTTGGCAGCCAGGTGAATATCCCGAGTGCGACACCAGCCTGTTCGCTGGCCGTTCGGGAGGGATATCGATACCGTTCTATAGCTATTACAATCGATATATAAATACTCAGATAAGGAGCCTGTCGTATTGAATTTAGACTTGCAGGCTCAAAATACCGAATTAACATACCAAGATCGATAAAACTCAAGGAGCTCTCTACTATTATAAAACCTTCTGTCATAGATTTCAGTGGTCTTTCCGGACTGAAATCTTCGATCCGAGCGAACTCGGCCACCGATCTATTTTTATTATAAACTCTTGGTAAGTTTATAGAGGCAGCGGCGGAGGGGCGGCCTTTTTCTTTATTCATTTTTGGAAACTAGTTTTTATTTTTTTGAAGTCCTATAGACGAGATATAACTTTCAATTGGAGCTACATCATTATACAAAACATCCTTAGTATAGATCTATAAAGCTTAATTCATGTAACACTAGCTATAGAATAAGTACTTACATTCTGTATATGAAAGCTAGAGATCTTCTACCTTCAAACCAACTGCGCCATAGATCAAGATGCCATCACGACCAGAGATACCCGAACTGTCCGCAATAGTACCTGGCGACAGATCGACTTACCCGAAAGACTCTATAATAAACAATTACACTCGTCTATCCCACATCCCATCTATGGGAATGGGCCTCGTTGCCGCCCAAGATCTTCCAGCGGGTACAGCATGGTGCCTCGCATCCCTCGACAATTATCTACCTATTCCTCGGAAAACCTTTATCGCCATCCGCCTCGCCGGTAAAAAGTACCCTGAATGGAAGAATTTCCAAAGTTCTATTGAAATGGTGGCAGTGTACTCCCCACGCTTTGATGCTGTCAATTTCTCAGTCGACAACCTTCGATTTCTTAACCATGGCATTGTGGAAGGCGAAGGAGAAGGTGGTGTTGGAAATGTCGAGATCGGTGGAACAGCGGTTGCGGAAGACTCGTTGGTGGGCTGGGCTGCATGGACGAACAGGGAGATAAAGCAGGGTGAACAGTTGGTGGCTAACTACTACGGATTCAAGAACTGTCCATGGGGGAATACCTGTGAGAAATTCTTGGACCTCACATTATCTGACAAGTTGGACTTCGATATTATGGACAGGGAGACAAAACTCGATGAGCCTGTCGAGCTTATACTGACAAGGGACCAGTTCAGTGTCTACACCCAGAGCGGACTAGAGAGAGAGATTGACAAGGCACTGTTGGCAGTGATCGCCAAATGGGGGGTGTGGGATGAGGGAAGAGGCTCCTGGGTTATTAAAGTACCGGTTGAAAGTCCATCGCAATAAAAGGGCACATCGAACTCTTAGGTCCAGATTGGCTTCGATCTAACCCATTAAATCAATACGCTTGTATCCCTAGCTTGGCAACATAAGGTATACAAACGAACAGACAGTTGACAAAGACTCAACAGTTGATGCTTATCCGAATATAGATTAATAGTTAGGTTCAAACAAAATTACAATGTTGTCTCCAATTAAATAGCAAGAGGACACCCAGTCCTACTAAGTCTGCAATTGCTCAGCGCTCTAAAACACGAATCCAATAATTTGAGTACAATAATTTGAAACTACACCGGTACTATTCTAGGGTCTGGGCCGGGCTACTTCGCTGAGGCTTATCTACAAGAACAGGCCAGACTAATAGTCTTATAAGTTTATATAATCTTAGCTGAGGAAGGTGTGTGACAAATGGGGGTCCAAATAGCCAAAAACCTCCACTTCTGTGGGGAAGAAAAATTAACATGCTGTTATCAGGAGCCCTCTCTCATTTAAGCCACTAGTAACCAAGTAAAAGGCTTTAAAAAATGTTATTGTAAGGATATATCGATATTACCGCACCATTTTCTACAGTTCACGCATACAACAGACCAGTAAAATTAGGATTTTTAGAGGTCGAGTTCAATTGAATGTTGCAGCCCTTGGAAGTACCGGAATTCTGGTTGCGCCACCTTGAGCCGGTTTTTACCGATACTCTGTGGCCGGATCTGCCCGTTTAGTGAGGGATATATTGTCTAAAGGATTTGTCCGTCTCAACAAATGCCCGGTTAGCTCAATCGGTAGAGCGTAAGACTCTTAAACTTGCTAAAAGTGGACAGAACAATCTTAAGGCTGCGGGTTCGACCCCCGCATCGGGCTTCTCTACATCCTGGAGAAGCAGTAGATGCATCCGCATAAGATTAGGCAATTTTTTTGCTAGTCCTCGCCCCTGAAGGGAGAAAAATACTGTTTGATTTTCTTAATTTTTTTCCTCAGGGCTTTTTGGGCCCAAAGTCCAGAGATTCTAGTACAGCATTAGACCTCTTCATTCTCTCGTTTTCAAGGCTGGGCGGTGTTGTTTAATGCTATTTTTATCGTTTCTTAAACTTCGGGTTTCCCATCTCGTGATCTCCATAAAAAATTCTGTGTCGATCCCGTGATCACGCACCACTTTTGGGAAGAACCGAAAATGTGTTGGCGTGAACGTTGCATTCTGAATGGGTTGCACACATAACTATGTGTTAAACACATTCATCCCCAATAGGATGCCTCCCATCTGGCATATATTGAGTTACCTAAGAAACTTTCGAAGCCTTCCATCTCCACCATCATCACCCCATCGTGTTTTTAATTCTTTTCTATCATCTATTCCATCTCTACTCATCATGGAATTCTTCTTTCCTCTGGCAGTGAGCTCCTGCTCCTACCCATTTGAGCTATGGATCCGCTATCTGCAAACACCTGTTATCACTCCACAGAGCCAGATATACAAAGCACTCAACGAGACCAGGCACTACCAAATCCCCCATACAGCCAGAGCGGTCTAGTTTACCAAGTCTAGCAACTCATAATAAGCTATATAAGCCATTGAAGCTTTCTTCGAGGCAACCGGTAGTCGGCTCGGAGACCCACCCTCCACCCAGCATATAGATATGCAACTATTTTTCTGTCCCTAATCGAATGACTAATACGGCTTACAATAAATTAATGATACAGACTTCAGAATCCTCTGGTAACGTAAGCGCCCCCCCCCCCCCCCCCCTCAAGTATCAGGGCAGCCCTACACCGACTGATCCGAGGCTATCCGTGACTGTAGAAGTTGTTGTATATAATCGTTTCAAACAGTGTCAATAGCTGTCTATCTAGAATGCCTATTTACATTCAAGAAATTTTTATGGTTCCCAAATAGCATTAAAGCTCTGAGAATCAAGCCCATGAGGTGAAATGACATATATTTATAGATGCCGATTCTGTGCACGTCCAACCTGAGCAGGTCACCAACTCTGCACTAGGGAATTTTTATCAGATTATGGCAAGCATGGATTCTCTGACGACCATTGATTGCATGAAAATCCCACAAAAAGCTTAACATCGGTCTCTTTGGCTCACATTTGTTCCAAAGAATACTGTAAGTGTGTTGAGAGGCTTTAATACAACGACACACTCTTCTCGCGTCGGATCTATGTACCCAGAATTATTACAAACGGCACACAAATCATTATTCTGTACAGCGAATTTCCTCAATAGCTGGGGATTTCCACCAAATTTTGATACCGTAGGAAAACGTGGCAGACTTAGTAGAAACTTCTCGGTTCAAGTCACCAAATCTTCGTGGCCAAATTAAAGCTGTAACTTCTTAACCCGGTTTGGAAACCTTCGAGCCGTCTCTTGAGTTTGTTGAAAATCCCTACGATGTGCTACCGCATCTAGGAAGGCCTAATTATATGAGGGTTTGGGTATCATCATTATGAGAGTTACGTACTATCTACGTCAGTGGTTTATTTCAGTGGACATCATAATCCGGCTATGATCATTCACCCACCTATCTCGCAGAATGTGGATCTCCCAAGGCTAGGCATAAAATTCGGATCCATTATCTTCCATGCAGGTAATCTAGTCTTTAAGGAGCACGAATAACTCTATACAGAATTTAAAGATTTTTTCTCTCTGAAATTGGTCTATGCTGGCGCACCAACTTCGGTTGGAAATTTGTCTTCAACTGATGTCATCTACGTAGACCTACATAAAAGCACTTTAAACGGTGTTACGGCAGATATAATGAGGGAAATCGTTTATTACGCTAGGGGCGCATTCCGGGTTTGACAATTACACAAAACCGTAAACGTCTATGCACGATCGCAAACTGATACCGTTACACCCGTCCGCTGAACACAATGACGGATAACAGGACGCAGGAGGCGACCAGCCAGGCTCCTATAGCTATAGCGCCTTTGGTCCTGCAGGGATGCAGATGGCCGTGTTCCACAACACCCCGCAATCCAAACTGTGCGACTTTAGGTACTATTATATGATGATGTTTATTGAATAAGCCATAAATTAGCTTTCTTCGAAAATGAAACAAAATATAGAAATTAAGGTATACCTGCTGGAGCACAGGCTATTTAACACAGAAAAACTGTGGGATAGTTCGGGCCCCAGTTTGCGACATGCATAGCGTCATTTGTAACGCATTTCTAGAAAGCTTCTGTATCGAGGCTCAGATGCTCTCCAGATATTCAAGCGAGCAAGGGAGGGTACCCCAATGAATATGAAAGCCGTTGGCAAATGGCCCCTAGACCTTGTTCTAGCCGGAATATCTAGATTGCAGGACCAACTGCGATCCTTATAGCTTAACTAGCAAATGGGATAGAAGACAGGATACTGAATGAAGGTAGAACCTTACGAGGGAAGTGGATAGGATGGGAAGAGAAATGTGATGTTCGACTAAGAACATGAGCTACGTGTATACACTGCGTCTCAATCCTGTGCTTTGGGCTTACCAAATTTATGGTAGATAGGTGCGTGAGTTATCTGTAAGCCGTTTGTTGATAGACTGCATAAACTGGATACGCATTGACGATGGCGGAAGGGGCGTGTACCAAAGAGCTTAATTCCATCGAACTTACAAATCTAGTGAAATTAGTTTAAGAAACCAACAGAACCTCACCAGTCATGATAGTATGGTACATGACCAGCCATACTAAGATTAATGCCTTTCCTTCGGGATATGGATTTGATGAGCTCCGTGCTTCAATTTTGGAAAGTTTCCCAGCTATTAAATACGCGCATAGTATACCCGTGGTAACCATAAAACCATAATTTTCTGCAGGCCTATTTAGACATCCGGATATTCATATGCGCGTAAATGCGCCAGGCTCATCCATAAGATGATGAGAACATTGGATTCGAAATAACGTATATAGGCCGCCCTAGCAAGTCCAACCGTCTTGGATTTTTTTTTTTTTTTGAAGGTCTATAATTCACGCCTGCGTATTTAAAGCCTCTGCCAATCGATGCGATACAATTAATATAACCTCATGATCCCGACATTCAGCATATGAATTAGGAATTGAAAACTCTCGCGCTCTGATTTCCCAATTGAAAGTGCCACCAACCCCCATTTTCCGTTGCAAGAAGGGTCCGTTGCCTGATTGTGAACTCTAAATAATTTTCTAGCAGCATAATACCGACGTTTTGCGCGATGTGTATGCACTTGTAGAAATCTAGAAAGATGTGCCAGCCGAGAGAAGAAATTTACATATTGTTGTTGCACATACAATTTTCAAATTCCTCTCGCCTCCTGATTTTATCCGCCAAACTTGCTATCCTTGACGAGGGAAAGCCGTTTTATCCAAGGCCGAGAACTAGGTCTTAGCTTCAGAATGAACAGGCCAAGCTTTTTGATCAAGCTTTAAAGCTTATAATAAGCGGTATAAACAATTAATACAGGATTAAGCTCCACAAACCTTAGGGATCCACATCTACCGAACATTGCATTCCTCTCCATTTACTCGGAAGCACTCCCCAGTTTGGCCCGACTTTCACCAACCCCTCCCGATTCCACTGCGATATTTTGCCCCAACGGCGTTCTATGTGTCAGGCAATTTCCACCAATATTCTCCGCCATACGGAGAACAGCCATACCTCGTTGGAAGTTACACGTGCACAACGACGTGTTATTCTTGGTAGCACGGGCTGAAAACAGGCATATTCATTGCAACCCCTGTATGGTTACAATGCGAAGCGAGAGCGAACAAGTTAATACTAGACTATCCCCTTTTTAGGCTTGAATATGGAGCTAGCCTCCTCTACACAATGAGGTGATCTGCCTGTACAACCTTGTCCATTTGAACGGGTGAGCTAAAGGCAACAAAAATGTTACTATTAATTGTTAGATCGAGTAAATTCCCGATCGGTCGAAAGATACTAGCATGATGCGAGGGTGCTTCGAAGACTGGGTTGAGAGGTATATAAGGCCTGGCCATCCTCGTCCTATCGATGTTTTTACTTCCCATCCACAGCCTCAACATCGCTTGAACATCTTTGGTATCTCTAATACTTGATATATATCGATCTTTAGAGCTCAGCTCCTACCATATATACTACTCTCGTTAACTGTCTGCCATCTTTCGGCCCCAGTCTATCGTAACCAGCATCATGCAATTGACCAATCTCCTCCTTCCCATCCTTTCGCTCACTTCGGTTCTGAGCGCGAGCCCAATCCAAGTGCTCGAACCCCGGGCCGACACCCCCGCCAATGTCTTCAAAATCTCAAATTTCTCTAACAGCGGTGTCCCACATTCGCTCCTCTCCTACGTTTCATTTACCGTAGAAGGCTCCAACTGGTCGTCATATTGCACTGCGTCTTCTTCCGTCAAGCCATCTATCGCTACTACGCCCTTCCCAACCAAATGCAACAAGCCCGGTATCTCTTTTGGATTCGAGGTCAAGACCGGAATTGGTTATGTCTTGACCATCATCCATAGATACAATAAGGACCAGTCTATCAATCTCGGTACCATCTGGGCTGGCACCGACGTCCAAACCAGGGTTAATCCAGCCAACCCTAATGGCAACGTCGAATACCTCAACTATCCATCCAACTTTACTATTCCATACAGTACCTATACCCAGCCAAAGAAGGCTACCTAAAATGGGTCAGATAGCAAAATGGGCAAGGCCAATCAATAATATTGTGGTCTAAGTTGAAATATATCTTCACACACTCCTTGAATTTAAGAATAGGCCTTTGAATTCAGGTGCATATTGTGTTTCTTGTTTTAATTTTTCTTATAACGACAATTCCCTATCTTTTAAGATGTAACGGGTCATGTAATCTAGACGAAATATGCCGACACGCCAATATCAAGCTTAGCTAGTTAATTATAAAAATATAATATCTCTCATTTTAGAGTACCGTCCTCAAGATTGTAAAAGACTATCTATAGATGTTAATTTGTCTCATGCCTGGACTTCGGACTTTAATATGCCGAGATTACTTAGTCCTCATATGATCATGCCCTAGTGTCTCCACCTTCTTTGTCTCCGAACAATGACACCTTCCGTGTGCGATCTGACACGCATCTAGAATAATAATAATAAGCAAAAAACATATTGCCCATCGAGGCACGGAGATACCAATTTAAGATGCAAAAGAGAAGGCTATCAGGCGGTTACCAGGGCTCGAACCTGGGACCTCTCGCATACTGATCGTGAAGAACCCTAAGCGAGAATTATACCACTAAACCATAACCGCATGAGTGGAGATCACGGCGGCGAATAAGCATCCATAGCGCTTGCCGGAATAGGGCTCTATGGGTGCCACTAGACAGTCTTGTCGCCCTGTGAGGTATAGACAGTTTGAGTAAATTTCTCAGGATCTATATTCAACAGGGCTATAGTTGCGGATTTGATCTAATGTGCTTAGTTTACTAGAATTATATTGTGTGAGGGTTTCTATCCAGGGAAGACCTGTTGATACCCGTGCCAAACCTAAACCATCTGATGAATGCTGTATATTTATAAATATATGAGGAAGAGGGTGCTAGTAGAATGTGCCTGGAGCTAGGCTAGTTGTTTCCAGCTAACCCCAGAAAAACTTTTCAACGACCTTGTTGGATTTCCACCGAAGATGTGTTGAGCTCTTTCGCCTTCCTTCGAGTATAAACCCAGTTGGTATTAGCTTTAACATACGCATTACATAGATGATCATCATCTGCCTGGTTGTATGGTGTAGTGGTTAGCACTCCAGATTCTGATCAGTGATTTCTGGCGACTTGGGTTCAATTCCCAATACGACCTCTTAATCAACCTTTCTTTTTTTTCTTCTTCTTTGCACGGTATTTTTTTGTTCATAGTTGCAAGGATCCCTTCTAAACCATAGTCTCACTTTTACGTTTTTGAAGAGTCCTAGAGCGCTGCAGTTTGATACTATTGGCGGGGACCCCAAACTTTGCCTCAAGTAAACGTCTTTTCGGAGATACTTCATCATCAGTGGCCCTCGAGTTGGCAAAAGTTGGCGATGGGTCGCAACACGTGACCTTAGATGGGGCTCTTTGACGTCACAGGCACAAAACTGGAAATGTGTTGTGATGCATCTGGAAGCCTCTCGAAGGAGCCACCAGCCGGTACCAGTTTCCGGTGCCTTCTACGTCAGTCTGGATCCATCTCGCGGTCTTGAGCTACAAGGTCAGACCACTGCTTGGGTTTAAATAAATTTACCTGTTCTCGTTCGTTTCAGATCCTTCTTTTCTTTCCCAGTGCTCTAATATTAATTAATCGAACGAACCCGCCGAGTGATCAGATCACGAACTGTCACCTGAGCATTCGCCAGAGACGTATATAAGAACCACCAGCGCACATCTAACGAAGTTACGAACATAAACATATACATACAGACTTCGATCCTTACCTCTCACAACACACCTCCTAATAGTCTGATATCAAAGATTTCAAGATGTCCGGACCAGGCGGTCATGAATACACGGACAGGGCTCTTGCAGCCATCAAGAGCGCCATCGAACTCGCCGCACAATACTCACATGTCGAGATCCGCCCGATAAACCTGGCGGTTTCTCTCCTAACCCCTCCACCGGACGATAGTAAACCAGGCGTCACTGATGCAGTCCCCCAGGGACCCTCTCTCTTCCGCCAGGCCGTCGAACGTGCCAACGGCGACTTCCAAACCTTTGATCGAGAACTGAAGAAAGCACTCGTTCGACAGCCTTCTCAGGATCCACCACCCGAAAACCCCACATTCTCCCCCACTATGTCCAAGGTTTTACGGAAAGCACATGATCTACAGAAACTCCAGAAGGACAAGTTTATTGGCGTCGACCATTTAATTATGGGTGTCGTCGAGGACCCGGGTATCCAAGTTGCCTTGAAAACAGCCAACATTCCAAATAATAAGGTTTTATTGGACGCTATCACTGCCATCCGAGGTGATAGACGAATGGACAGCAAAACTGCAGATGCAGAATCTCCTAACGAGGCTCTCTCAAAATTCACGATCGATATGACGACTCAGGCAAGAGACGGGAAGCTCGACCCCGTTATCGGACGAGAAGAAGAAGTCCGAAGAGTCATCAGAATTCTATCGAGAAGGACAAAAAACAACCCGGTTTTGATTGGTGAACCCGGTGTTGGTAAGACCAGTGTTGCAGAAGGTTTGGCTCAGCGAATCGTCGCCGCTGATGTTCCTGCAAACCTCGCCCAATGCAAGCTTCTATCACTCGATGTTGGTGCATTAGTAGCCGGCAGTAAATATCGTGGAGAGTTTGAGGAGAGGATGAAATCTGTGTTGAAAGAAATAGAAGAAAGCAAGGAAATGATAGTGCTTTTCATCGATGAGATCCATCTTCTCATGGGAGCTGGAGCCAGCGGTGAGGGTGGTATGGATGCGGCCAACTTGCTCAAACCAATGTTAGCCCGTGGCAAGCTTCATTGTATCGGTGCCACCACCCTTGCTGAATACCGAAAGTACATCGAGAAGGACGCTGCCTTTGAACGTCGTTTCCAGCAAGTAATCGTCAAAGAACCATCGCTGCCCGAGACCATCTCTATTTTGAGAGGGCTGAAGGAACGATATGAAGTCCATCATGGAACGACAATCCTCGACTCTGCTCTTGTTGCATCTGCGACTTTGGCACAACGCTATCTCACATCACGGAAACTCCCAGATTCAGCCATTGATCTTATGGACGAAGCTTGCTCTGCTGTCCGAGTTGCCCGTGAATCCCAACCCGAAGCCCTCGATCATCTTGAGCGTAAACTTCGCCAGATAGAAATCGAAATTCATGCCCTTGAACGAGAGAAAGATGCCGCTTCTAAAGAGCGTCTTGAAATCGCTCGCAAGGAAGCAGCGAACGTCCAAGAAGAATTGCGACCAGTTCGTGAGAAGTACGAATCCGAAATGCGACGAAGCAACGAGCTTCAGGATCTCAAGAAACGGCTTGAGGAAAAGCGACATAGAAGAGAGGCATTGGAGCGAGAGAGAAGATTCGGTGAGGTCTACGACCTTGACAAGCACGTCATCCCTGAGCTTGAGGAACGAATCAAGCATCTCGAGCGCCAGAAGGTCCAAGCCGAACTCGACCAGATTAATAACCCGGTTGAGGGCGAATCTCCACTCGTCACCGATGTCGTGGGACCGGATCAGATTAATGAAATCGTTGCAAGGTGGACTGGTATCCCCGTTACCCGTCTCAAGACTACAGAGAAGGAGAAGCTCCTCAATATGGAGAAGTATCTCTCAAAGGCTGTTGTCGGCCAGAAGGAAGCCGTCAAGGCAGTTTCCAATGCTATTCGTCTATCTCGATCTGGTCTAAACAACCCCAACCAACCAATCGCCAGTTTCCTCTTCTGTGGTCCATCCGGCACTGGTAAAACACTTCTCACAAAGTGTCTTGCTGAGTTCTTGTTTGATGACCCGAAGAGCATGATCCGCTTTGATATGTCCGAATACATGGAAAAGCACTCCGTGGCCCGACTTATTGGCGCACCACCCGGTTATATTGGTCATGATTCTGGTGGTCAGCTCACTGAAGCGCTTCGTCGAAAACCCTTTTCAATTCTGCTTTTCGACGAAGTTGAGAAAGCTGCAAAGGAGGTTCTTACAGTTCTCCTACAGCTTCTAGACGAGGGCCGTATCACAGACTCCCAAGGCCGCATTGTTGATGGCAAGAACACAGTTATTATCCTAACGTCAAATTTGGGAGCCGAATACCTCACCTCGAAACGCTCCGGTAGCGGGAGAATTGACTCCGAAACCCGGGAACTGGTGATGGGCGCGATCCGCCGTCACTTCCTGCCAGAGTTCATCAACCGTCTTAACTCTATCGTCATTTTCAACCAATTAGGACGCAGTGGCATCAGGAAAATTGTGGATCTCAGGCTTGGTGAGATTCAGAAACGGCTTGTTGAGAACGGGAAAAATATTCGGATTGTGGTTTCAGACGCCGCAAAGGACTACCTTGCACAAGCTGGGTTCTCGCAGGCATACGGTGCTAGAGTTATGCAGAGAGTTATCGAAAAGGAGGTTTTGAATCCCCTTGCTGTGTTGATCCTGAAGGGGGCGGTTCGAGACGGCGAGGAAGCTCATGTTGTGCTGAATGTCGATGCTGGAAGAGAGAAGATTATTGTTGTGCCGAATCACGATAGCGATGCCGAAGAAGATGTGGACGTTGAGATGAGCGACCTTGATGATGAGCAGATGATTGATGATGAGGTTAATGAGCTCTATGATTAGAGAAGCAGGGTCAATTTTGAACTTCCTTGAATAGTCACTTTTTTTTCTTCTCCTTTGTATATGGACTCGAAAGGCATCGTTGAGCTGAAGCTAGGGTTTAGATAATTCAAGCACATGGCATTTGCATTTGGCGTCTTTTGTTTAACTGCTGTTCTCTTCTTTATACTTCACTGTACTTATCTTGTGCTTTGCTTCTGTTTTTTTTTTTTTTTGCCTTCTAATTGATTGCGGCTTCATTTCTAGGTTCGAAGGAAGCCTGGGGGAAACTTTTACCTCCACAAGTTAGATCAATTATCTAATAAACTTACTCGTTCAATTTACAAAATTATATCCTTATACAGAATATATTCTTGTTTTTCCAACCAATGCTGGCTTGTCACTTATAGTAAATAGGGTAGATGGGTATAGTAGATAGGTATAGTATAAATATCTCAAATTCAATGATTATAAGAATGGGGTCGAATATAAACATAATGTGACATATGTACGAGAGGAAATGAATGGAAATGAAAGCTGACCGCTAAGTGAGGAGTGCGATTGAACAATTGTTAACTGAGTAAAGGATTTAAGATGAACAAATGAGGAAGGAAAAGGAGAGGGAAAACCAGCAGGAACACCCTTATTCGAACAGACCGACGGTAGGAAACAGATATGAAGAAAGAAAGAAAAAAGATAAAAAAAGAAGAGGGAATCTGTGGATGCCTGCGAAGTTTGTATGCTCTTGCAGCGTGACAATGTGATGTGAGTTAGCATTCAAATTGCAAATGTCGAGGCAAGAGGATAACAGAGAAAAGGCTGGGATATCAAAACCGACAGTGCATGCACGCAATGCGGAACCTATGCCACCGATGAATGCCACGAACAAAATTGCAGAAAGAAAAGAAGAGGAGGAAGAGAAGGAGTAAAAAGTAGTCCAGGTAAATGGTAAACAAAGCATCGAATGAATATCTGATGCTAGCACAGCTTGACTCCACAAATCTGAAATCCACTCCTCTCCACCATTGCGT